CCCCAAAACCCCAAAACCCCAAAACCCCAAAACCCCAAAACCCCAAAACCCCGGTTTTGTGTATAATTATTGGAAATGGAGTATGGTTTTAAGGATTTGTTGAGAGATGAGTAAGGGATGGGGTTAAATGGTTTAGGAAGTATATTATTAAGATTATGTCTGTCTCAATGCAAGAGGACATGATTGCTCTTGGTATTATGGGAAAACTGTGAATCTATGATTGTAAAACTCAGATCAAGGATGATTATTTCAGGACTGGAATGCGATCTCAGAGTAAATCTCAGCGGAAAATAGCAGAATTCCCTTACCCCAACACTTTTCCTCAAAGTATAGACTGGAACAACAAAAGCCCAAACGTTTTAGCAGCTGCTGACTCTGAGTTTTGTAAAATTTATGATGTCCAAAAGCAGACCAATTTTAACAATTATAATGTCTTGAAACATATCAACTCTATTTCTTGGTCAAAGTTCAATCAGAATCAAATTTCGTGCTGCACTAATGGAAATGTCATTTACATCCTTGACACTGACTCTCAAGGGAAAGCTTATCATACAATTCAGTCAGAATCCAAAGTGGAGAAGGTGGCTTTCAGTTATACAAATGAGCATATCTTGGCATCCTCCCATGTTGATGGAGTCTATATCTGGGACATAAGGAAAGCTGACAAATTTCCTCTGAAATACCATAGCTATAACCACCAGAATGTGCATAATCTTCACTTTGACAGGGTAAACGGACTCTTGCTCCTGGCAAAGCAAAAGAGTGTGCATATTTATTCTGAATCTAATTTCCAGAATCCCTTGGAGATTAACAGAAGCAGAATCCTTAGTGCTAAATTTGTACCTTCAGAATCTGGATTTGCTATGATTGAGAAAAAGAAGACTGATATATCTAATAATATCAACTTCTACAGTCTTTCTACTGAGTATGATAATCTTGTTGCGAAGAAAGTTGAAACATTGGCTCTTCCTCAGGAAGAAGCAATCATGGATTTGTGCTTTAGAAGAGATCCAGATATGGGACTTCAGGTAATTTTCAACACTAGAGACACTAAAATGCTGAAATCTGTTGGTATTCCTCTTGCGACTGTCGAAAAGTTGCCTCCAAGCCCAAGTCTCAAGAAACTAGGTTTCCATAATGGAGAGGAGAGCAAAGAGAATAGTATCAGCAATGAAGCTTTGACTAAAGATTGTGAGCAGCTTTCAGAAGATCTCTCAGTGGTGTTCCATGAAGATATTTCTATCAAAATTTCACAAAAGTTTAGCATGAACCAGTATCTGTACAAGGTGGAGTGCAAGTCTTCTAGGCTGGAGGCTCGTATTTTGGTCAATGTCTCCAACCTAGACATCTACCAGGTGGAGTACAAGTTAAATCTGAGTGAAAAGTTTGAGGAATATCTTGAACAATCGGTTAAGTTGTCTTCGAATAAAAATAATAAAGAAGAGTTCTTCCATATTGTCGTGGAGGCAATGAAGGCTTGTGATCTTACAAAATTAGATTTTACTAGCAATGAAGAAGAAAAGTATTTGTTTAACAATGTTCCAGAGAATGACCCTATTAAGCAAATTTTAGATAAATCAGGTGTTCCTGGAGATGATGAAACACCTTTTGAGCCATATGGCCCACTTGAAAAATTCAAGCAACCTTTTGTTCCCAGCCCTAGGACAAGTGGATGTTGATGGTCTCCGCATGGATATCTTGTACATTTTAAATCTTCTTCAACATGTGATCCAAAGACTAAAGGTGTCAGCTTGTATTCAAAACATGAAATTTTGAAGTTTATTGAAAACAATAAAGAGAAGTTAGAGAATAAATTCAAGTTCAATAGTGCACATAAGATAAAGTCTGTAGACTCCAACCATTTCCAAGACTCAGATAGTGATAACTCATTAGATGAGTTTCAGACCAAGCCTTCTGTCTTCAACCAGATCCATCAGGATGGAGGTGATTTGAACATCAGCACTCAGATGGAAGAGTCTTATAAGAGAGGGTTCTTTAACAAATCTAATGATTTATTAATATCTAAGAACCAGATGTCAATGGTTGCTATGAACATTGGAATTTCATACTCCTTTGCCACAAAGGCAACTATTCTTGAAGAGGATGTCCAAACTATTTGTCAGAACAACATTCTGGCTGGCACGAGCATGAAGAGGATGGATATCGTAAAGCTCTGGAAAATGATCAGCATCAGTCTTTCAAAGGATATCATTAGTAGCACAATTAGACAGAAGATCTGGAATAGTCATCCTACTGGATGGCTGCTGATTAAGAAGCTAATCCGTAAGATTTATGATAACTTGTAGTATCGATGGAAGAAAGGAGGGATATTCAATCTATCTGCATGATAGCAATATGTCTTTATAAGACTAATGAGACTGTAGCTGTTCAGGGAATCAAAAGAGGTGTTATAGCTAAGCTCATACCTGAAGATGACTTCCATTACTGGAAAAAGCTCTCTAAGTATATTGTTTTATATTGAGAGGTTCTTTCGAGGTAAGAAGACTTCTTTTGTTGCGAAATTTTAATAATATAGATGGAATTTGAGGAAAAATGAACAAGCTATCTTGGTAAAATATGCTGCAAAAATGGAGACTATTTCAAGAGTGGTTGAAGATTTCAGAAAAATCTCGTCTGCTCTATAACCCAATAATCCATCAAGATTCAACAGAGACATTATATCTCGGGGTTTTGGGGTTTTGGGGTTTTGGGGTTTTGGGG